TGTCTCAAACAACAAATCGCTCATTTCCTCAGGAGCATATAAGAGAAATGCGAAATAAAAGATTAGAAAACAAAAAAGGCAATGGTTTTAAAAATATTGGATAAAAATGTCAATGATAATTGCACAAAGCCCTAAAACGTATTTCGGTGCGGGAGACATTCAAAAGTCATTGGGTTCTCTTCCTGGATTCCCATGGGCAAAATATCCCGGAGAAAAACATCTCCCAGGGCACAATTATACAGGTCCAGGCACTAGGTTAGATCTGCGTTTAGACGAAAATGATATTCCCAAACCAGGGGAAGAACCCGTTAATAGAGTTGACGCAGCAGCGCCCAAACACGACATACTGTACAGAAACAAAGACATAACATTCAGACACCAAGCAGACAAACAAATGATAGACGAACTCGAAAATATTCCCAATACCACTTTAAAAGAGAAATTAAAGAGGGCTCTTATCATAAAACTCTTGAAGGCAAAATTGAAATTGGGTATGGGCATAGCAGACGAGATTCACAAAGAATTTCGAAAAAACAAACATTACCTCAAAGTCAAAGTTTTTGATAAAGATGAAATTTGGTCAGCCGATTTAATCAACATGCCAGTCGAGAGAGGGTACAAGTATTGTTTGACGGTGATCGACATATACACGAGATACGCTTGGGTCTTTCCCTTGAAAAACAAATCGGGTCTGACTGTCAAACAAGCATTCGAAACCATAATGAAACAATTCGACAGACGACCCCTAAAGTTGTGGGTTGATAAAGGAAGCGAATTCTACAACAGAAATGTGAAATCTCTGGCGTTTCAAATTTACAGCACGCATAACGAAGGTAAGGCTGTAGTGATAGAAAGATTCAACAGGACTCTTAAAAGCAAATTATTCAAGAAATTCACGGAATTGAAATCTCAAAAATGGCTTAAAATATTACCAGTTGTTGTCGACGAATACAATAACAAAATACATTCGTCTATAGGTGTGACGCCAACGCAAGCCTCTAATAATCCGAATATCATAAAGTCCGTCAACACTCGAAACAACTTTGAAAACGAGATTAGCAATGTGAATATTAAACCCAAATTCAAAGTTGGAGATCGAGTTCGTATTTTTAAATATAAATCATTGTTTCAGAAAGGTTACGTCGGCTATTGGACTAACGAGATATTCATCGTTGATAAAATAAACAGCACATCACCTCCCACATATGAATTGATCGATCAAGACAAAGAACAAATCATAGGAAGGTTTTATCAAAATGAACTTCAAAAAACTGACTTTTAAAAATGAATCTCGAAAATGAAGATTTAGATGAAAGGTTAAGAAATTTAGATGTCGACAGGCATTTTCGCTCTCTTAAATTAAGATTTTTTAAATTTAAATGTAAATTTATCTTCAAAATATTATTGAATGTGTTTTATCAGAATGTTATACAAGTTTTTTCAAACACAAACTACGTATATATTTCGTCAATTGGGTCTTCAGCAATACTTACCGCCTACTTCGAAAAACACCTAAAAAAAATCAACTTAAAAAATGAATGCATTTCTCGATAAATACGGAAAAGACACGACCACGAGATGAAATTGATGAACTGAAATACAAAAAAGGTAAATTTTACGCCATCACAAACATTCATACTTCGGATCAAAAAGGAGTTCATCACTCTGCTCTACACAAAGATTCTTCGAATAACTTTTATTTCTTTGATTCTTTCGGTCTAGAACCGACAGAAGAGATAACGAAATTTACTAGCAAACCAATCAAATGTTATACGTTTCAAATTCAAATGCCAGGACAAAAGCTGTATGGACAACTGTCGCTTTGGGTTTTATATCGGTTGAGTTTGGGAGAAAAGTTTGAAGAAATTATAATAAATTTAACTCAATAAAAATGGCAAACAAGTTTGGATTAGGGTCTTTACCTCTAGAATCTAAAAATCCCATGAGTTCTACGGCGTTTATAAACAAAGCGAAACCTTTTTTCGTGGATCAAATCGGAGACACCTTACAAGGGGATATCCTTATGAACAATTTCAAAATAACTAATTTAAAGTTTCCAGGAAACGATAACGATGCCGTGAACAAGAAATATTTACTGGATCAAATAAACGCAATTCAAATAGATAAGGACCATGTTGAAAATAGAATAAATGACGTGAAAAGATACATCAGACGAAATATTAAAAATCTTGTGGACGAACCCAAACTACAACAAGAGTTAACGAGTTTGAAACGTCTTATTCAAGTGGATAAAACAAGTCAGTTGCAAAATTTAATATCTAAATTAGACGATAAGATTACGAAGGTAAAAATAGACGTCCAACGTTTAATAGACAACCCAAATGTAAACGAGGATAGATTGAAACGAAAACTAACTGCTTTGGAAAGAAAACTTGGCGAATTGCTAGCAGAACTAGACAAGACCGCGGACAAAACCGAGTTACAAAATTCGATATCCAATTTGAACGAAAAGATCGCGAAGCAAAAATCAGATGTTCAAGATATAATTAACACACTTCCCATAGACAAAGATACGTTGAAACGACAATTGACTGCTTTGGATACTAAAATCACGGACGAATTAGAAAAAGAAGTGGGTGTGATTAAAAACTTTCTTCAAAATAAATTTCGAGATAAGAACAGGTCAATCTTTTGGTATCTAGAATTCATGACGATTTTTTGAGACAAGAGAGAAAGTTGACCAAATTATAAGCTATTGTCACGGACAAATCGTATTATTTCAATCTACCATTCGAAAGTGACACTGTCTTCAATAGAAAAGACCAAATTTATAAATCAAACAAATACGGATTCAAAGCAGAAATAAAAGTAGGTTCTCTCGTATACGGAGAACCTAAAAACGTATTCGATATCGGCGAAACGCAAGCGTTTACTTTTCGAGGTAATTGTCTGATTCAAATAGAGTTTCCCATGAAGGTTAAAGTCAATAAAGTAGTCTTCAAACAAACCGGTAAGGCCGTTAAACATAGTTCATTATTCAATGATGGTAATTTGGAAGAGAATATACGTTTGATTGATAAAAGGGATCAGGAAATGGAAACGAAAAATGGTAAATATGTAGACACCTTTAAAATGGAAGTAGAAAATGATAAGGATATCATTGGAATCAAAGATTTGGATATGATATTGGAGACGGAAAATCCACCATTAACCAACATTGTCAAAATTCCACCATCACTTATAATACCCGTATACGTACCCGGACCAATAGAATCGAGCAGTCACGAGTTTTTACGAACAACAGACTTTGAATACGTAAAACTGTATTTTGTTTACGATGGAAAATACACCTTGATCAATGTTCATAAAAGTCAACAAGAAAGAGAGTTTATAGTACATTTATCGTTTGCCGAAGGTTCCGACTCCATCCATGAAGGTGGTGGTTTTATTTCTAGAGCCAAGATAAACATCGAAAAAGAAAAAAGAAAATATTCCTATCATCTTAAAGAGGACCATACGAAAAAAGAAATGTCGTTAGTACGCGTAAATGTTTTTACTTTTAATACCCGCAAATATAATAATTCTAGGCCAAACAAGCATGCTCTATACGATATTCCGTGGTTCCATTTATCGGAAATTCACTTAATTTAACGATTTAAAAAATGGAACTCGAAAGCAGACAACAATACATGATAGACAAACAAGAAAAGTTGAAAATAAAGTTGAGACAGTGCAATACATGCAGGAAAACATGGAGTAGAATCGATTCTTTTTTCAAAACAGCGAGCACAGTTCTAACGGTAGGAGTAACGGTGGCAACGGCCAAAATAAAGAAATAATCAAAAATATATACTTAAAAAAATATGAATAAAATCGAACACGATGAAACATTGATAGAAAACGCCCTATTTTCCGATGTTATCAAGGCTATCTCTGATAAATTTAAAACATTCAAAGGACAAATTAAAATAGATGGAGAGATAGTCGAGGAAGGGAATCACAGACAATACATGTCACTCCTCGGTTTCAATGCTAAAACTTTTCACAATATCTTTTCAAATATGGACAAAAAATCCGATGCTTCCGATTGGTATTTTACAGGAAAAATAATTTTAATGAAAGACAATTTCCAAGAAATCAAAAGATCGAGAGTTGGTAGAGGAGGAACTGATCTACTTAAAAAGATAAATGAATACGAAGGCGAAAATTGTTACATACCTACAGATGGTCACTGTTTTATCAAATGCGTCAATCGTGTTTTGAACAAAGATTTAACGTGTAAATTTCAAGAATACATCAACGTGTTTTCAAAAGCAAATACAAAAGGAGTGATGACTTGTGCAAGAATGAAGGAATTCAACAAGAAATTTAACACTTCGTTTCAAATTTATAATCCCAAAAACAGACATTTTCATCCCAGAGACGTTCACGATGAATTAGATTGGGTTTTTTACTTACACAACTCGCATTTCTGTCTGATTAGAAGAAGCCAAAAAAGTTTGGGAATTCAAGAAATAGAAGACAATTACGAACAGGTGTGGAAAACGTGTAGAGACGATAACGCAGTAACACAGGTTTCACCCCTCAAACTAAACGTGCTTTCAAGTATGAGTGATGATGCGTTATTCGCTTGGGATTGCGAAACGTATTCAGAAAAAAACAGTCGAAGAGCAATTCCTTATGCCTGCACTTTAATTAATTTAGAAAAACTAAGAAAAAAGTTAGAAACGATAAAAAATATCTTTCCAAATATAAATCCTACTGATAATGTTCCAGAAGAATTTTATGATAAACTAATGAATGTAGTAGAACTATTTGTAGGTACAGATTGTATAGATCAAATGTTGAAATATTTAGGTCAATATGATAGAAAGAGATTAATATTAATTTCTCACAACGGCAGTGGATTCGACAACTGGATCGTGCTTAAAAATGCAAAAAAACTAACGCATTGCCCTTTAAAAACACCCAGAGGAATTCTATCTTTTCCTTTATCTAATCCATATACAGATGGATAATACAGATTAATTATTTACAACATATTAATTTCACGTGTTCCTATCAACACGAATCCTCTAGTTTGGCTGCATGGGGAAATTCTTCCAATCTCCCCGCGAATTTGAGAAAGATTGCCGACGTAGATATCGCTAAATACACGCAAGACAACTGGGAGGAATTGAGACACGAATGGGAACCTTACGCCAAGAGAGACACTCTCTGTTTGGGAGCTTGTTTGATAAAATACAACCAAGTCACGAAAGAAGTTGTAAACCAGAATATGTCCAATAATCTAACGGCTCCATCTTTATATTTAAAGGGTTGGTATTATTTATATCATTACGACAAAGAAATGGTGGAAGAAGAATGGTATGAAACTACTAGAATGGTTGCGAAACATACCGAAAAAGAAAATATAGAAAAAGTTTATTCGCACACTAATCCTTTTATAAGAAATTTTATCAGACGATCTATTAAAGGAGGAAGAGTTTCGGCAAATAGAAAATCATTTGAAACGAACAAAATGGATGAAATTTGTAACGTATTAAAGGAATATATTTCACAAACAGAAAGTAATAACATAATTGATTTATTTAAAGAATACAGCGCAAGCACAAAAGACAAAACGGAGGTTCATTCGAGACTTAAAAAAATAGAATGTACTAAACTAATGGCATTTGATGCTAACGGTTTATACGCTTCCGCCATGTCGGATTTAGACAGTGAATATCCGAGAGCGGAAAGTGGAAGACCGTTCCTACCAGAAGAAGAAAAAGAATTTGTAAAACTCTTCAATAGACAAAAATTCAGACCTAGAACAGCTATTTTAACAGTGTGGTTTGACTATCCCAAAAACATGTTCTTCCAACCGATACCAGCTAAAGATAAAATCACTTTCACGAATAAAGGAGGTAAAAAGGAAACTGGTACTAAAATCAGGTTCAGAAATGGTTTCTGTCACGACGTTTTAACATCGGTCGATATTCAAGAAATAGTGAAAGCCGGTGGAAGAATTATTAGAATATTAGATGGTATAGTTTACGAAGAAAATTTTAAAACTCCACCCTATAGAGATTATATTTTAATTTTGAGAGATCTAAGAAATAAATATAAACGAGAAGGTAATATCGTGGGTAGTAATTGCATGAAATTATTAGGTAATTCCTTGTATGGTAAATCAATTTAGAAAGACATATTCACAACTAGACATTTATGGAATGAAGCAACTTTACAGGCCAAATTTGATTCACGTGTTAAAACCTATGAGAAAATTAATGATACTCAATATATTGTTGAAACAGAAATTGAAGAAAAAGAGATTACTACCGAAGATAGTAAATCTACACGACTAACACCTAGTCATTTAGGATCATTCGTTTTATCTCACAGTAAAAAAATAATGAACAATTTCATTCACGTCATAAATGGATTTTATAAACCCGAAATATACTATACCGACACCCATAGTTTGTACATTTCATCCAACAATTGGAAAAAACTAAACAGAGCTGGTTTGGTCTCCGAAAAAGACTATTGCAAAGGTAAAAACGATTACGGTGACGGTGGAATTATATTTGGTTTATATTTAGCACCAAAAGTCAAATACAACATCGTTTTGACTTCTGATGGTCTTTTAAAAGAAAAGAAAACGTTTAAAGGTTATTCTAATGATAAGATAAGTGTAGAAGATTATGTTCAGTTAGCAAGCGGACATGATGTGTCGAACGAATTTAATAAACCATGGGAAAAAAGTTTCACCAATGGAGTAGTTATTCCAAACGATAAACAAACTAAAGTTTTTAGAAGTTATTTGAATAATGTTAAAATAAAACCACCAAATAGTGAAGGAATTATGTATCCTTACAACAACAAAGATGAGTATAGTTTTAATGAAAACTATGAATTTGATGATTTCGATTATCTTACTATTCAAGAAGAGAATGAAGATTGTTTTAAATGAAGTTGAATGACAATTTCTTCGTTGCCAAAGTCTATGAACCTGTTTTTACCATCTTTGATTTCCAGATTTATATCTTTGATCATGAAAGAATTGACTGGTAAATAGGTCGTTTGAAACGGTTTCTCTATAATTCTGTATCCGATCGGCACCGTTAAAGTCGGTATGCTGTATATGATTTGGCGTTTGTGCTTGTTGAAAAATCCACTGTTGATCAAATTACAGTGAATGTTGATCACGTCGATGTCGTTCTCGATGTTGGCCTTGTGCGGCGCCAATGTTGATTGCGCGTATATTCGTTTATCGAACCCTAGTAACGCATTCAACGAATTTTCTACGTTGAAATCGACTTGACTGTTATTTCTCAAGATCAGTTTTATTTTGTTCAGATTCAAATTACCTTCGAATTCGATATTGTTTTTACCGTTCACGCTTCCTGCGTATTCGGATAGGTATTCGTTGATGGCTACGTATTCGTAGCTTCCCGGTAGTAAGCTTATGGTTTCGAACGTAACTCTGTTATCCGTCGATATTTTTAGTTGATTGTTTTTTTCGTTGATGTTTCTAATGGAATTGTAAACGGAGAAATACTTTAATCCCAGTTCGTACTGTTTATTGCGATCGAGTTCATACTCGTAGTCTAGAGACAATTTGATGTCTGGTTTATTCGAGGTGATAACGAACAATTGTTCTTTATTGGACATTTTTAATGACGTTTATATAATCTTTTTTAGTGATGATTTTTTTTCTCCAAAAGTCGTTTTAATATGCCATTGACTGCGTTGTATTGTCTGTCCGATCGATGACCTTCTTTCATGGCCGCTAATATTATTTCTAATCTATTAAGCAATTCTTTATTGTTGTCGGATAAAAACGTTATACCTTGTCCAGATGGGACCATATCATCGAATTCGTCTATTTCTTGTATGATTGGATAATCTTCTGCATAATCATCTACATCCTCTTCATCTTGCTCAATAACTTTTGTTATATATAAATCAACTTCTTTCAATCTTCTTGTTTCGGGTCCTGACTTTCTGATCGCATGTAGAAATTTTGAGTATGCAACTAAATCCTTGTAATCGGCAATTTCAACGTCCTCGCAATTCATTAAATCTATTAATCCTCTCGTTAATGTAAATATAAAGTCTTTTGTGTCGATTTTGAATTGTGGTGAATTTCCACTAAATCTTATTCTAAATCCATTAAACAACAAACCCTCATCATCAACGATTGGTGAAATACTCTTTGGTAAATCTGGGTCAGGGTTTGAAAAAGACGTTTTATATCATTTAATGTCTTAATACCACCATATTCAATCGGATCTTTATGGGGTGAAGGTTCTATAGCGAGTCTCTTTTTAATATCTTCTTGACTTTTTAATATGGGTTGAAATAGAGTCTGTAGATTTCCGTTAATCCGAGTTGTTGTAATCTGTTATTTTCAACTTGGGTCTTTTTTTTATTCTTAGCTTTGATATATTCTCTATTTCTTTTTAAAAAATTATTCCAATCCGTCATTTTAAAAAAAATAAAATTAACATATATCGATCATAACTCTTTCTCCCGCAGGTTTTCTAGTATTTACAAATACTTATCCATGATCATCTGGTTTTCTCCATTGAGCTTTACAAACCTTTTTAAATGTATCTCTATCCATTCCGTGATTTATAGACTGAATGATTTGAGATAAATCTTTATCATTTAATTCAAATAATAAAAAACAATTTGCATTTTTTCTAATGAACATAGAATCCATCCCGTAAAAAGATTGGGATTGGTATATGCAGTGACAGTTGTCATGTCTTCCTTTGGTGAAGAATTCTTGTTGAACAGTTTGATTTCTTTGCGCTACGCAGTCGTCAAACAATATTAAGTTCTTTCGATTGCTATCAATATTAGACAAGTCTAGATCATTAACATTTTTCGTAAGAAAAACTTTTATATCCGTTGGATTGAAAGATGGATTCTTTGATTTAATGAAGTTTTCTATGATATCTTTTATTTCCACTTCTTCGTTTTCTTCGTAATATTGAAATATGTCTTGAACATCTTTCTTTGGTAAATATTCTAAAGCTTTGAGGAATTGATAATACGATTGCTCTGGTGTTGTTGTGTAGATATACAGAGAATCGAAATCTAAAAGGTTTGGTGTTGTCAACATGTTAAAAGTTAGATGAGTTTTCCCAGAACCTGAACTACCGCAAATACACATGAGCATTGGGTTACTAGGAAATATGTCCGAATGTTTAAATTTCTTGCCCATTTTTATTTATTACATTTTCGTACCAAAAATCACCCCGTTGCCTTTATACTTTGAAAGGAAGATTCCCTCGCCCGAACGTATGTTTTTAAAAAATATGGCGTTGCCCTTGTGTTTGACCTTCATTTCTCCAGTGTCGATTTTATCTATTAATTTGATTAATCCCTCTTTAACGGTTTTCTTGGTTTCTTCGCCAAATCTTTGTCCGAATTCTTTAACCGTCCCTAATATATCTCACGAACCTCCTCGTGCTTCTCTTTCCATTGCCAAATTGTGTCTACGTGCTTCGGCGTTTGCAGCGGCTTCAGCTTTCTTATCGTTGACAGCTTTGGCTATCCCAGAAGCTCCACCAGCAGTTGCACCGGCTGCAGCTAAACCAGCAAAGATTAAAGGTAAGAAAGGTAAAAATCCACCTTTTTTAGTTTAAATCTCATCAATTCTTTCCAAGTCTATATCGTCTCTGACTTTGCAATGTTTGTATTTATCGATAATCTTTTGGGTTATATGCACTTTTTTACCGTTGTAAGTTATTAGAGTCGGCGAATTCGTTTCCATAGCTTCTATTATTTCTATAACTTAAGTTTCTGGTTTCATTTTTAAAGGGTGTTTTTTTATTCAATTCTTATCATTCTTCTATCTGATATTTTAATCAAATGTTTTGCTTCTTCCAGCAATAAACAGTAGCCGGTCACATCTCCTTGTGTTTTATCGATGTGAATATTTATGTTTACCCCTGTTTTGAAAAGATCTTCTTGATGAACTGACAGATCGAAACAAAAGATTGGATGATTGAGTGAAAAATCTGTGTATTCAAACTGAGGCGTATTTCCAAACAATTCGCACATGTTTTTATAGTTTCTGTACAATTCGTTGTAATCTTTTTTGGAAGGATCAATTGTCAAAGGTTGATTGGGATAATTATCGTTGTTCAATCTGACTTGAACTTTGCGAATGATGGGATCTTGAGTATGGTTCAATGCCACTCTGAAAATGTTGTGAGAGTCTGGCAAGTTTTTGAAACCGACCATTAGATATCTCGCTGGTTTGACGGTGTTGGTGATTGGCCACGTGGTGGATTCTCCCGTTAAAGTCATGCTACCTACCGTGTTACGACGAAGAAAAGCAATTTCGATGTCTTTGGTTAAAGAGTTGAATATTCTCGTTTCCACTTCTACGGAAGGAGTGATCACCGGTATGTAAAGTTGGATATTCGTTATTTCCAATTTAGCGTCAGAGTTGTTTTCACCAAAGAATATCTTGTTGTCGTTGATTTCTCTTTGCAAATGAATTTTATACGGTAAACCTATGGAAACCTTTCTGTGTTCCAAGAGACCAAATAAAGGATACAACTTCCAATTAACGTAATTACCCCATCTGTTGTTCTCGACAATGTTGTTGTATTGAAGCGCTCGTTTTTCAAATCCGTGATTTACTCCGCGAGTCACTCTTTCCAGTGTGTTTCTAGCAACTACCCTTATCCTGGCAAGGTTTGCGTCATTTGCTACAGTTCTGACCGGTTCTTTTAAAACTTCTCCGTCACCGACATCGGAAATCCATCCCGAAACTGAATCGTAGTTTTTGGGATACAGAACCGTTTTCAACATTGTGTCAAACTCGCCGGGGTGTTTTATGGTCTCTATCGGATTTGAACCAGCTTCCAAAACCATTTCGCTGAATAATGACGGAAAGAAGTTGTTTTCTAAAGTCGTGTTGGTTTGTGGAATTCGATTCTGAGTGGCGTCTTTGATTTTGAAATCGCATCGGAAATGGGCATCGGAAAGCAGCAACCAATTGGACAACGAATTAATTTCAAAGGTAACTCTTCCTCCGTCGTTTATTTGGGTCTTTGTCCCTACCGATGGTGAGATGATTACGTAATCCTCTTTCTTCTTGTTGAACGAATATTGAATCGGATCATACAATTGAAAGATTGGATCCAATCTGTAATTTTTGCTTGCCATTTTTATCCAATGATTTTAAACCCTTTTCCTTGTTTTTCTAGGGCTTGTCGTTCTAGTCTCTTGTTTCTTAGTTCTCTTATTAGCTGCAGTTCTTTAAGTTCGTCAGATTTTTTCACTGCATCGCTAATATTTACTCCTGCTTTTGCCACAGATCCAAGAGCTTGTGCTTCTGAGGAAATGAGCGATTTGTTGTTTGAGACAAAATTGGCCACTTTGGGATGAGAGATGTTAGCGCAGAGAAGAAACCGTCTCCTTCGAATTTTTTTTTTTCGTGTTTTAAAATTAGAGACATTTTTAATGCGCTTATTTTATACTGTATTATTTTTTAGTGATTCTTGTCTGTGGTTTTGGGTAATTTATAATACAGTTTGGAGGAATCTGTTATGATATATTTTTTTTAACAGTTTGGGAAGTCTGTTATAATACATTTTTAACAGTTTGGGGAAGTCTGTTATAATACATTTTTAACAGTTGTGTCTGTTTTCGGATATGACGCATTGAAAAAGCTGCGCATGCGCAGAAGTGAAATGCGTCATTTCCGAAAAGAAATATACCTGACATCTCAAAAACCGGATCAAACTGGATGCGCTATATCAGAAAACTCATATACTACTAGTGGAGGACTCATTTAGGCAATGCCCACTAGCTTGCTCTCTGATCTCAGCTATACAGTAGTATTTATTATCGTCCTGACGATACTTTGTCTTGTATCTATTCTTATGTCTCAAAGACAAAAATGCCGTTGGGTGATTTATCAGAATCATTAAAGACACGAACGTCTCTTTGGTCATCTGTGGTAATATAAAAAAAGAACGATTTCCCAAAGAAAAACAAGCACTTTCCCGACACAAGAGTTTACAAACAAAGTTTCAAGTAGCCTACAAACCTGGGCACATCTTTGTGTGTTGCAGCTCTGAATGGTTGTTGCGCTGAAGGAACCGGGGCAGCCCCTGCCACCATTGGACTGGTGGATTGGTGCAGGTCCAGGATTTAATCACATTCTTAGTTCCTCCTCCACAAGACTTGTTGCAGCTTCCTAATTTTGTTTTCCAAGTTGTCCAATTTCCATGAACTGAATGAAATTATAAAATGACACGAATAAAGAGTTTTACGTCTTGTTTTGCACTCAGAAATTACTTGAAAAAATGATGATTACTCAATAAAAGATTGAGGTTGCATGCTACTTATTCTTATAAATTAAGTGCTCGAACCCCGCCTATTACTCGAATTGCTTATCAATTTATTTTCCAAAATTGAATCCTGTTTGGACGAGTGGATAATACTAGCGATTAAAATACAAATACAATTTCAAACTTAATACAATATAAATCAAAATACGAATAAAATTCCTAACTTGCCATAAGGTTTATAGCATGTTTAACTTCTATATCTGAAATATATGACAGTAAATTATTTTAGTCTAATATATAGAGTTGTGTAGGCCTATTAGTTAAATCTATTTCGTGTTGACGTCACATTAAGAAATGCGACAGCTGTATCACTTCTGACCAGGATATTTTTTCCAGTACAGAGATCTAGAAGTTCAGCGATCTATAGTAGGCGAGCTTCATCCTATCATTAAGTTGGGGTTGTATTTTTTAGTTCAGCATGCTTCTCCCCTTACCTCCTCCGCTTTCTGTCCACAAACCTTTGAATAATTCAAAATAGCCAACTGACCAGTATCTTACACATCGACCCCAGCCAAAGAAACGTGTATCGATCACTCTTAGAGCAGACATACGAACATCTAAAAGACACATGGAAACGAAATTCATAGTTGGGAGTTGAATAAAGCACAGTAGCACCAACAGTGGTAGAGATAAACTTGCATTCAGTCCCATTTGATCATTGTTGTTAACAGTTTGTGATAACGCAACCAATTTGCTTGAAATATTATTCTTTCTTGATGTATTTTCAAAAACTTCCGTTATTCAAGTATGTTATGAGATTATCTTGTAAATCAAACTATTTTCGACATAATAAATCACTATGTGTAATCGTGTAAACTTTCCAATTTCGTTTGAAAATGAACAGATGCAAATCCCCATTGACAATTGAAATACAGAAAGAGAGAACATTTTGATAATTTTTGTAACAAATAATAAAAAAAAACAGAAACTTACGACGCAGCTTGAATTTGTTCAAATTGGAAAACCACCAAAGCCAACACCGATAACACCATAAATCCCTTCATTTTAAGAGTAAAAAGTCAGAATCAGCTCTGGGCTCTCGAGACCTAGATCACCTCTTCAATAGGCTACACTTCTCGGTTTAATATTTCGATTAAAAATAGATTTAAACTTTACAAACCCTTTTTGTAACAGCCCCAAATTATTACTTATTTTTCTCCACCAATGGTTCATGGTGCTTCACCCCTTCTCTTCCATGGTTCAATTTAGATTGCTGAAATTCGATAAGCAGTTTATCACACCTAAATTCAGTTTTAAGTTCCTTAAGATTATGGAGACCGCCGAAAGGTTCCAGATTTGGCAGAACATTTTCACAATTTGTTTTGATTAGCAGGTCGTTGTGAATAGGGAAATAATGGATCACAGCAGGGCCATTTTGACACTCAAAATGCAATGCGATGCCGCTTCTCCTGTGCTGAATACATATAGCCTACACAACTGTATTCCGTGATACAAGAAATGCAGCTATGGAGTCAAGATATAAAACGAAGATCGGAAAAGCTTGACATTGTGTAAATGGTAATAGCTTGACATTGTGAAGATGGTAATAGCATGACATTACATGAAGATCGTGATAGCATGAAATTGAGAAGGTCGCAAAAGCTTGAAATTGTGAAGATGGTAATAGCTTGATGTTGTGAAAGTCACAATAGTTTGACATTGTCAAGATGGTAATAGCTTGATGTTGTGAAAATCGCAATAGCTTGACATTGTGAAGATGGTAATAGCATGACATTATGAAGATCGTGATAGTGAAGATGGTAATAGCTTGATGTTGTGAAAGTCACAATAGTTTGACATTGTCAAGATGGTAATAGCTTGATGTTGTGAAAATCGCAATAGCTTGACATTGTGAAGATGGTAATAGCTTGACATTGTGAAGATGGTAATAGCTTGACATTGGTAATAGCTTGACATTGTGAAGATGGTAATAGCTTGACATTGTGAAGATGGTAATAGCTTGACATTGTGAAGATAGCAATAGCTTGACATTGTGAACATTGTAATAGATTCTGAAGGTCGTAATAGCTTGACATTGTGAAGGTCTAATCATGATGAGAAATGAAGGGAAATAATGAAGAGAAATGAGAAAGGGTTGTGCAAAGCATTTGCGAAATTCTAAAGTGCCTCTCTTCGGAAGGTTTTCAAAGCCTTGCTAAAGCTTGCCGATTACCGTGGACCATTCTCAAGCAATGGACGTGTTGAGGTGGAAACAATAAGCATTAAAACATATAAAAAATTAAGCTAACAAGATAGATGTAGTATGTACGTGTATGTATGTAAACTTAATGCTGTTTTTTTTTTCTCTGAAGGAGCGTTCAAAAGATCATCCCTTTGTGGATTCGTGATTTTCTCAAAAATCGAATCCAGTATGTCAAAGTCAACGAATCCATATCCACCACTGCTGTCACAAATACAGGGGTCCCACAGGGTTGTGTCATGTCGCCAGTACTATTTATTCTATACACAATTGACAACCAAGAGGGAGCAGAGGAGGCATGTATAGTATACATGTAGAGAACCTAACTTGTTAATGATATCCTTGTAAAGTCATTGTCAAGAAGGTGTTTCTTGAAATATGAGTATTAAACTATTTAATGAAAAGAAAACCCAACATAAAAGAAATAATATTGAAATTCATGAGAATTATGCCCTTCGTCCCACCTGTGCCTAAATGAACGAATGTCTAAAAGGAGTGCGTCTAAAGTGCTATATATTTGTACCCAAATTAGAGTGAACCAGTTTTTGTAGTATACGAAACAATGCACTTATCGTTATAGATATTTGTCACGCTTGAAATGAAATTTTTGCTGGTTTATCCGAAATTTTCCCACAAATTTCACCTGTATTTTTCGTTGTTTTCGAGTTGCTGCTCGAAAAGATAATATTTGGGGGAGTAGGGTAGGTGGGCAGCTGCCGGAAAAAAGAAGTTTGTCTCACGAATCCCTAATTAACCCGTAATGAGCTAAGTACCTAGGGAATGCAGACGAATTTTCTGACAAATCACCGCGATAGAACAAATTTGTCTTTTTTCTATTATTCAGTCTGTACTGCGAAGGACGTTTACTTATAATTATATGCAACAGCTGCTGGAGAATTTTGTTATTGCATTTATCATCTCCAGCAACAGGAAAGATGATTTTTCAATTCCTTTTTGCAGAATTATAATGAATTAATTAAAATCAGTTTTAACTTCTCATATCCCCTTCCAAATAGAATTAGCTGTTATATTAAAATACAATATAGCTTCACGTCATTTGGTGACGTAAATAAACACATAGAGCCTGAATTTAGCTGGACCGAGTGGATTTGAGGTCAGTGAGAATGATCTTGATAGAAAATAAATGAACAATAAATACAAGTATTGCCTTGCATCTATACGATTGTCTCAAAGAAACAAATGCCACCGGGACTCCAGAATGTTGTAGCTAAAGACACGACTCTGTGATCATCATCTGTCCAGGAAAAAAGTTTACAAACATACTTACGACCTACAAACCTGAGCATCTCCGTGTTGTTGGTTGTTGGGCTGAAGGAACTGGAGCAGCACCTGTCGCTATTGGACGGTCGTGGATTAGTACAGATCCTAGATTTAAAGGGATACTACGTCTTAGAATACACTCGTCCTGTGGCTAATATTTGTGTTTAATAGTGACCATTGGTTAAATAAGTATGCATCCCACACTTTATCAAGTTTGAAAAATCGACAATAAAACTATAATCAAAATTTTAAAAAGTGAGCAAGCGACAAGTCAGTTTGAGAAAAAAAAGAGTCTGGGTAATCAAAGCTAAAACAGGAAACAATCATCTTCCGGTGTATACAAACATACTTTGCCAATGATTAATATTCGTTGAAAATTGCGTCAGTGGTGGAGTATTCATTCCAAATTATATGAATTGCTTTTTGGCAGAGTTGCTTAATCTTCTATACGAGGCATTATTATTCCGTCTTCAAAATATGTCTGACAATGTCGAGGTCAATTCAAGGGTAGAGGTCAAGGACGCGGGAAACTTCACCTGAGAGTTACTTCCCCTTGACAATTACACCGGATTTCCCAGGCTCACGATTTGAAAATCGCTTAATGGATGTATTAAGCGTTTTAAAATTAATTACTTGATTTTGTGGATATATCGGATTATAGAGGGATTTTGATGTATAGTTAGGACACCACTGATGGATATATACTGTCATTGGCCAAATTTGAGCAAAATTAAGACGCAGTATCCCTTTAAACACAATCCTTCTCCTCCTCCACATGACTTGCAGCAGCTTCCAAGGTGTCCATGAACTGAATGAAATTATCAAATGACACGAATACAGAGTTTTACGTTCTGTCTAGTTCTAAAATCTTTTGAAAAAATAACGATTACTCAATAAAAGATTGAGGAGGCAGGAACCCCACATGATGCTCGAATTCCACCAAAAATTGATTGTCCAAAAATAAAAAAAAGTTGGCCGATCACTTCTTGCTAATAATTTTTTTTCAAAATCAAGATCAGCAATCAAGATTAAACTTAAAATACGACTACAATTTCAAACTTACCACAAGGTTTATAGCACTGTTTATATACGAACTGAAAACTATTTTGTGTTAATGTTACATTGAGAAATATACGACAGCTGTATGACTGTTGTCCAGGATGTTCCTTCATGTACAGGGATCTAGAAGCTCAGCGATTCTCGTAGACGAGCTATATCCTATCATGAAGTTGAAGGGGTTTTAACACATTCGTAGACTTCAGCGTTGGATCATGTCTGTATACTTCTATCTCTTTTCTGAAAATAAAATGGATTTCGATCAATATAATAGGAAATAAAAAAAAACATCGTTAGAATTGCGAATGGTTTTGGCCTACCTGCATCCATATTTATATTGGGGCCAGCGAAAGGTGGACTGTTAGTTCCGACAGTTAGACAGTTCGTCCTGTTAAGCTTAAGCTTTTAATATTCATGAAAATCAAAGGGGATTTGCCGCCAAAATGGCTTATACATATTAATGAATGAAATAACCTAAACGTCTTACAAACATGTTCAATTCCATCAAGATATCTATATACAGTCAACAAACAAATCTATTTCTATGGGATAAGAAGGTTTGGTTGGGCTCAGGTTGTAGGCAACCTGTGGAAGAGAGAAATAACACAGTCAAGTAACCTAATTTCGTGGAAACCTATTATTCGTGGATTTCCGGAAAAGATTAATTATTTACATATGCGACTTCGCATGACCTCCGCATTTGTTTGTTTTGGTAAACATGGGTTATCTGTACAATGCCAGCTAGTATAATGAATCCAGTAGTTTCAAGCAAGGTAAAATGTATTAATGTATACTTTGACAAATACAAAATGGCGGATTTCAGTTATTACCAAACGACTATTTTTTATCGGCCGAATTTCCTTATAATCCCAAGCGGTAATCGGAATTCCAGGTGTCGTCTGCTAGAATGTAGTCCAATGAATGAAGTCACGTGATCAACTAGCGGATTCCGTGTCAGCAGAAAATTTCTATGGAACACAAAGTGGGCCATATTATTATGTTGTGTCAGTGACTTTTAGCAATAAATCACGCTACGTATCTTATTTTGTCAGTCACAATTTGTTTTTAAAATCATAATTCTTTGAAGGAATTGTCACTAGTTATAATGAATTGATATTAAAGATAAATACTAAGAGAAGTTAATTATACCACTGGGTATCAATACAACGTGTTTTTCTCGACTTATTTATAGATCAAACATTGTACACGAAAATAGCTGACGCATTCTACCGCCGTTGCCGAGTTGCTTGCTCATAAAATATGGGTCAAAGTGAAGGATTCATAAAGAAAATCGAAACAAACCAATTTTAATTATTTTGTAGGATATCTGAGGAAACATTTAAGACCTAAAAAAAAAATTCGTTTGTTTAACTTTGACGAAATTAGGTGTTGAATCCTTATATGCACGAAAATAGGTTACACCACTGTAATTATTATTAATTAATGTTATTTTATCAATAACCTGCGCTCTCATGTATGGCCATGCCTTCATTCATATTATACATCAATGACATTCTAGTTATTTGTAGTCTCTTAATTACTGAGTAACTTCCCTTCGATTTAAGTTTATTTTGATATTCATGCGCTTCCAACTAAGTTCTAACAAAATATGTGTCCGAATTTGATTCAGCGCGTTGGAAAGTACTATTACAATTTTCAAGCCATATTATTTTCTATTTCTTTCCCATATTAATTATCATGTGAAAAAAACTTTAGATTGTGTTATTTTTCTGAAGTCAATATCTTCCTCTTTACAACCGGAAGTGGTAATGGGTTTTGTTATGAAATTATCAAAATGGACTATGGTTAGCCGTTTGGCTGCTTTAATTATTGCCCAAAATGCTGTAAGTATTCAGATATATATGTGTTTTTCATACGTCTTGAAATCTTTTTCCTTGGTCATTATGTAATTTGGAAAAATTTCACAAAATGCCTTTCTTTGGTCTTCACTTCCATTTTGATGGGCTTTATTTATAATATTACACCTTGAAACTTAGAGTAATGTAAATAGTTAATAAATTTAGACACAGCAGAAGGGAATATCAATTACTGGTCAAAATTTTTAAACCAGTGATTGTTGTTCATTAAAGCTGTGACTGTCTGTAGATCTGAATGTCAGTCAGAACGGTAACAAACCAAAAGCAGTAACAAATCTTAATAGTCAAAACGGTTACAGATTACTGATAATGAACATCGTAATACATTGCTGTTTTTTAATCGGAGGGTTTAAAGTTAAGACAAGTTGATCTAGTCTACAGGCCCTTTGGAAGAAAAGTTGGAATGTGATTTTGAAAGAATAGGCTTTTATCTATACCATTTTGATCCTAACTCAGATGAAAAGAATTTCTAATTTTAGTATCTTCAACTCCTCCAATGCCATAAGCTGAATATGTTAACAGTTTCATCCAAATTGTCTTGTTACCATTTTGCAGATTTGTTACCCTTTGACCAATTTTGTATTACCGATTTGGTTAATCTGTGATTGTTTCAACTATTCAACTTGTTTCCGTTTTTCGAGTCTTTAAAGCGAAGTTTACATAGTTAAAGCCTGAATCTTAAAAATGTGATCCTAGTCTAAAAAAAGGTAAAAGTGATCCTAGTCTGAAAAATGGTGTGAGTCTGTTATATGTATGAAAAATGGTCCAAATTGACAAAATCTTAGTCTTTAAAAAGTGGCCAGAGTGTTACGAAAACTCTGAGTGTGTATTTTTGGTCATGTAAGCTTATTCAAAGATGTTAGTAATTGTGTAAATAATTATTTCTTATCTTTCAACTAATTCAAGTAGTTGTTCATCATTTTTTATCCATGAATGAAATATTATAAGACAACATGTCAAATGAAAGTAATTGATATTGAAAGGGTTTAAAACGTGCTGGTTTATTTTTGCAAGTTAACCAAACGAAAGGCAAAATGAGTAGCAAATTGAATAATTTTCTTCCTCTAGTTTGGAATTATGTGTTATGAAAGAAAGGGACCAAAGAAGCACCTCGCAGGATGCACGGTTTTCCACAAAAATGGTACATTTTTCTCTGGCCCACTTCCAGATGATAATTTATAAAAATTTTATACCAGTACCAGTATTATGATTTAGTATGGCACAACTGATACTATATTATTGTTGTTGAAATTAAGATGATTTTTGTTGTTTTAGGATTTCTTCATGTGTATAATGTATTCTTATTCTGCTCTATTTCTTTTTAAGGTAGCTGGTCACAAAGGGCAGAAGGAATGAAGAAAAGAAAGAAAGTTTTTATTCATTCCTTTTTAAATAAACCTTTTTAAACATTTTATCAACGTTTTAACTTGCCTTCTGCTGATTATTGCCTTTGTTTTTATTGAATTCTAAATGTAAGTCTCTTTCTTAAAACTATCTTATTGTCTCTAGAGTAAAATTCTCTTCATGTTGTGTTGATGAGAGCACAGCAAGCAGCTTATTCTTGTTGAATTGTTTCCAAATATAAGATTTCAAGGTCTCAAAAAGACCTAACAATGCTTTAGATATGCACAAACCTTGGTTCTCAATCATTTATGTAGCAAAGTTTTTGTTTAACTAATTGAAATAATCAGGTTGTAATTGGAAAATACTAAAGTGATCAAAATAAAAAATCTCTAAGTCATATGTCTGGATCTATACCTCAGCCTGTTGTAAATATTACTGCTCATATCAGTATACCTGGGTTCCACTTGAATTGTTTTATAGTAATTAAATTAATTTGATGTACAGATTTCATCAAAATTTAATATTGCAGAGTTTTATCATGGGAGAAAAGATGTTACCAATTGGTGTTTTCTGGGATATAGAAAATTTAAATGTGCCCAGGTATAAATCAGCTTTTAATGTTGTACAGAGAATAAGAGAGAGATTTTTTGCTGGGTATCGTGAAGCCGAGTTTATGTGTGTATGTGATATTAATAAAGAAAGTAAAGATGTGATAGCTGAACTCAACTCTGCTTCTGTAAGTTTCTTTCTAAACAATTCTTGATTACAAGACTTGAATTATAAATAGGTACCGCATAACCACTCAACATAATAACTTATTTATTTTCCATTAGACATTTGCATAGTCAACCATATCATATGATTGCTGTTTTTCACAAAAATTATAAATGTTTCTGATAAGGTAATATGATGAATATGTGAACTTGGCAAGAGCAATATTGACTGACTGGAGTAAAAATAGACATGACTAACTAAAAGCAACAGAAATTTATCTAATAAGTTCGAGGAACTCAAGCTTAGACTAGTCTAGTTATTTGTGTTGAAAAAGGTTTAGTTTAGTTTCTTGTTTTTAATCTTTACGCAGCTATTTTTTACTGTTATATTCAGGTAAATGTAGTGCATATAGATGCAATGGGCAAAAATGCAGCAGATGACAAAATAAGACATAGCTTGCGTAGATTTTCTGACACCCATCCCCCACATACACGAATAATTCTTATTTCTGGTAAGTTGTTGTTTTTAAATTCATTATTTAAGTTAATTATGGTTAATAGTATGTATTAATTAAAGAGAATATTGTCCAATTTAATTACACGAAGTTATCTAGTGAATTGTAACCATGTGTTTTGAAAAAAACTTTAAACAGCCTCTTAGTGTTAAATGACCTAGCCAAAATGAGTTAATGAATGAATGATATTTTTCTTCTTTGTTTGTTGTCCTATAATTCCTATAAGTCTCCTACACGTACTAAGTAATAACCTTTATTATATATAACTTCATATTAAAGGGGCAAGTATGCAAAATTTTTATAATCAAAATTTTTTTACCTAAAATTTTTTAACACCTACCAGAAAGCGAACTTAAAACATTTACATAAATCGTTAAGTTTTTCCAAATTTTGACCCACAAAAAGTTATGATGCCCCTTTAAGTTATCATACTAATACACATTAGCATTTTTTTTCAACAACTATCATTTCAGGTGATTTTAATTTCATTTCTGATATATCGGACTTGAGACACCGTAAAAATTATTATACTATTTTACTTCATGGAAGACTAACAAATGAGTCACTAAGTAGTTGTGCTAACGAATCTCATGTTTATGATGAACTTATTGAAACCATACCATACAGAACACCTTCAAGGGTAAATTTTTTATGATGTAATTTTTTTTAGATTTTTTGCAAGCATGCTTTATAAAAGTGAAGTGTTTGTCAATTTCATAAAAACAGAAATTATGACTAGTTCTTATCAATATATATTTATTTATATCAGCATTGCAAAGTTATTTTTTATATGCCCATGTGAAATGAGAAGTGTATATTGGCATCACCCATGTCATCTGTCCTTTTAAAAAACAATAAAATCATTAAATATTTATATTTGATATGAGTTAGTGCCCTTTTTTTTTCAAACTGGATTCAATTTTTAGCTGGTAAATTTTGCACAATTATTGACAGATATATATGGATCTTAATGAAATTTTCATAATGAAGCAAGAAGGAACCCTATAGAAATAATAAAATATCCAAATATATTATTAGTTACAGTCCTTGTTTTTTGAAAACCGTTTGTTTTCTATAGCTTATAAGCACTGAAGAGGACGAAATTCTTTACAGATTTGGATGAATTTATAAGTTATCCCTTAAGGAAGATTTGAAATTTAAAATCAAATATTTTCCATCAGTTATAACTTTGCTCTGAGATAAATATTTTGAAATGAACTTAAAGTACAGTCCACTTTAATTCTTCAGATAGTCTATTGTTGTCACACTATTTTTGATGAAGTTTTACTGATTTTTTTTATGTAAATTGGAATATCAGCTTCAAGATAGTCATTGATTAAAAAATGAAAATTGGCATATTGTTATATTGAATTGTGTTTATAAAGAGTAGTTACCAGTCAAAACTAATTCCTTTTGAATTCCTGTTGAATTCTTTCAGATTTTGAATGTGATCTTACATATTTTTGTATTTTAATTATTAACTTGAATTCAAATTGAAGATTATCAGGACAATTGTGTAGCTAATATTTGAATTCTGTAAGAAATAATGATTTGATAAATGATAAAAAATTTGATTTACCTTATGTGGCCAAGAAATAAAGATAAAGAAAAGTTAATTTCGAACATTCAAAGATACTTATCATTTATGTATTAATATTTGAGGGTCCTGAAAAGCATGCAGAGTTAGAGATTCATGGATTTTGGAAAGATTCATCTCAAAAGCAAATTCATGCTAGATTAAAACAGTTGTCCAATAATTGTGGTGGACGTGTCATGTCTGTCACTCAAAATTATGCTGTACTCAGATTTGCCAACAAAGAAAGTTCTTTACGGTAAGTAATATCTTTTACAAGAAGGCAAGAAGTTTATGCAAGTATATATTCTACACTTCAGAACATATATTTATATATAATTGATATTATCTATCTTCGTAATTTTTAAAAGGTATTAACATGCCTATCCTGGTAAATCTGTCTTTACAAATTCCTCAGGCATGAATTTCAGATGTGATTTCATCACAGTTAAGGCCAGACATAAAATAAAATTAAAATTTTGGAGCTTTTTCACCATGACAAAAAGAAAATTTAGCATAACTTATTAGATGCCATGCAAAACTGAATCATTTGTGAGTTCATCAAGACATTACCAGATATTCTATAATGTCCTTGTGTCCCACACTATAGCACAATACAGATCAGGAATATGACAAAAATCTGAAACATAATGTATTATTTTGATATTTTCATTACACTGAAACATAAATCAGAAATAGGCAAATAAGCCTTCAAAAAATCAACTCGTTTAGTAATAATCTTTTCATCACTGAAGTTTATAAGTAATTTCATATATAAACTTGAACAATTGATTCTGAAACCATAGTATCAGAAAATTTAGTGCAATTAGATATAAGTTTAGATATTGACTGAACATTTTTTGTAAACATATACAACATTTTGTAAACCTGAAGTCACATGTTTGCTAAATGATCATGAACAAAACAGTTCAGTGTAGTGAGTAATGTTGAGTGAACAGTTGATTATTTTATACACAAACTTGGTTTATGTCAAAACATGTTCACTACACCACATGAAATGCATGTGCTGTATGAATCAAAGGTCATTGAGGGGTGTGGTTACATATTACTTTTTCTCATTGACTGTAAACACCTATTGTGATTGGTTCAAATATTTACAGCTATGTAATTTGATTGGATATTAGAAATTCTAACACTGATTGATGTGACTGAACTGTTTTTAGCACACCCTTAATTTAAAGGCAGGGAATTTGTGAATGAAAATGTTAGGAGTTTGTGAATTGAAGAGCTGTCACTCTATCATCACGACAGCTAGTTTAATCTCCAACAAAAATTGTTTTCTTCAATTTCTAGAGCTAAAAAAAGAATGGATGGGGAAAAAGTTTTTGGATTTAAGATTACAGCTTCATTTCCTGGAGAAGAAGTCCTTACTTCAAGGAGTGGTAAGTCAGCCATTTTGCCTTGAATTCAATATCAATGTTAGAGTAATGATATATTATTCACTGATTTCATGCAAAAGAATTTGTATCTGTTTCTTGTGTGAATGATTTTAAATGGAAAAAAAAAACCAAATCTTAGACATCGCCTATTATTCAAGTATCTGCATCAATTGTAATGTCATTTTCTGACAAAAATTTAATTTTTTTGTCTCTAGACCAATAATCTGAATAAATTTTTAAACTGTATGCCCATTGTTTTGGAATGTATAAAAATATTAGGTCAGACAAGTTGACTCTTAATATGAGAGCGCAGCGAAGCTCTCTTTAATGGTAACACATACATATACATCAATTCGCTTCAGAAAATTTATGCCCCACAGGTAGTCAAAAAAAAGTATCATTTTTTGTATCAACTTAATAACCCTTACGTTTTATTTTTATTTTTTTCTGCATATTCTATGCGTCATAAGGAATAAAATGACAGCTTTGACCTAATTTTCCAAGACTTTCTCCCAAGCAATGATGGCGGCTTTGTTGACATCATACGTCACGTTATAATGACGTCATCGTTATATATGATTACTTTCACACCTTTTAGAAATTTCTCTAAATACCTTATAAAAGATTGTCTACAGATCTTATATTCATACCTTCACATATATGATTAGAAGACAAAGTAGTTTGCATTACATACAGATAAGGTTGAATTTCGTTTATTTAATTATTATTAATTAATGTTATTTTATCAATAACCTGCGCTCTCATTCAAGGCCATGCCTTCATTCATATTAAAACTACATATTTTAGAGACAGACCTCCAAGTATTGTATGAGCAAAGAAAAAGTTTTTTGAAATTTTTCAATTAATTGCTTCACAAATGGAAAATGAATCATGTAAGCTAACCGATGCTTCAGGAATACCATTGCAGTGCTAAAAGCTAATGAAATTCATGTCTTTTGATTGGCTGAAATTTTCAATGACAATAAGTCTTATATAATGTGGCGACCATCTTCTAAATAGCTCCACGCTTGAATATTTTAATTTAAATAAGAGACAATAAATAGTGGTTTATTCTTTTGAAATAAGGTGGTATGGAGCTGACCTCATAACATAAGCAAATTCTTAGTTTTTGGGGAAAAAAACGTCAAGGAAGAAAATTCAAGATATATTCATAGATGGTCTTCTGACTCTGCCGACGGCAGCGCGAGATAGGATATTTCGGTCTAGGTTATCCTTAAAGTCACTAAATTGCTAGTCTAACATGAAGTCACTGGATGACAATTGTAAGTTCATGACCTTGTTCAATGCCAAAAACATTATAAAATATACTTGAAAATATTTTTAAAGTAAACTATTTATATCTGAATTTACTTGATGATAAAACTAACTTTGTTTTAAAAGGGTAAATTAAACACTGAGAGTACTAATTGCTAGGTTTTTTGAAATTTTTCAATTAAAGGCTTTATAGCCGAAAAATCAATGGTGTAAGCTGATCAATGCTACAGAAATACCATTGCGTTGCTAAAAATGTACATGTATCCACATTTCAATAATTCTAGTTTCACATTTTTTTTTACTGCGTATGGATAAATGGTGCTGGTGAAATAGCGAAAAAGAATCTGAACAGGTTCATGGCAAAATATCCACTTTGTTTGAATTACTATTTGAAATATGCACACAAATATCTCTATTCATATATGTGTGATTTTTTAGTATAGTATATCTTCAACATGTCATTTTGGAAACCTATAGCCAGTAATCAACCAGACAAGGTTCTGTAATATTCTCATTCTTAAAGAGACTAAATGAGGAGGTTTTATCTTGTTATCTGTTTACATTATAGTGTTCATGTAATATTTTTCTTTTCAGATTTTGGTAATTTTAAAAAGCCTTCAACACCCCGGAAATTCAAATCAAATAAAGATTTTTTTGAATACAGTTGTCAATTAGATAACCAAGAAAACAGTGGAAGACAATCTTGTCAGAATACAGCTGATGCCAAGGGTAACACAAGTGTACCTATTGATATCCCTGGCACTGGACATCAAAGACTAAACGATTCGAGTCAACCAGATTATGATACTTTTTCTGTGACCCAGAATGATTATTTTGAGACACCAGAATTTAACGGCCCATTGCTGACTGAGAAGAAATGTAACAGAAGTCTTTTGATGATCCAACAACAGAATTATCAAGAGAAACAGAGTGAAATGTCATATCGTGACTATTATAATAGAGACTACAGACCCTGCAGTGCTCCTACCCGTAATTCACCTTCTTACATTCATCCTAACATGGGAGGTTCACCTAATTCATACTATAGATCTAGTCCAACAAATCGTTATTCAGCTTTCTCACCCACTAATCATAATACATATCAAAATTATAATAATTCAAATTATTATGGATCTTCACCCAATCGTCTTGCAGCTAATACATTTCAACCAATCAACAGTAGCTATATGCCTAATGGGAGTGGTTGTATGCCCAATGGTAATGGCTATATGGTTAATGGTTATTTGTCAGGTGGTTGTGGATCACCTGGTGAATATAATACAGATGGCCCAGTGGAGTTAGTTGTATCTAATTTAGATTATAATATTAGTGCTAAAGAATGGAGAAAAATTCTCTTTACTACATTCCACCCTCAAGTAAAGGTAAGATCTTGATTTGGTTACTGCATAACACACCTGCAGTACTCAATATTTACATTATCATACTTCAATACAAAATATGCACTGAATTATGCTTGTTTTCTACTACAGATGATCTAGCCAATTTAATTACACATTTTAAGACCTGTTTTAATAAAACGATCCAGTTTTTGTGGATGCTTCAAAAATTGATGACAAAATTAGCAATTAAGCACTATTCACTATTTTAGATGTTTTCAATAAACAGCCACATTTTGTGCAGATAATCGTTATCGGTATCATTTTGTCTTGTCAAGTGTGTTTGAAATTGTCCAACTGTGTGTAATATATCATTGATATTATGTTGTAGGTATTAAGTGTTCATATTAAAACACAGCCTGACAATACATGTATTGGTATGATTAAAATACCAACAGTAGATGAAGCTAGGTTTGCTATCTCTCAATTTCATCGTAAGAAAATAGGATATAAACGGATACAAGTTACTTTAAAAAATGATGATGTACAAATGGCAACTACTAATCTTAGGTAGATATAAGTGTATGTTATTTCTCCTATACTGTTTTTTTTTTCTTCTGTATTAAATATTGAAAATTCTTTTACCACACATCTTAGTTGTCTGTCATGGAAAACATCAAGGACAAATATAATTCCTATATCACAGTTGTGCTAAAAACTATGTTCCATAAATTGGTCCATTACTTAAAAGTCTAAGGTTTAATGATTTTTATGAATTTTATTTGTTTCAGAATGGAAGCTATTGCATTATTGACAGAAGCTAATAGAAATATTCTACCTTTGTTTAAATTCATTGAGTTATTTGATAAAAGGTATGTGCTAAAGTCTTAATTCCTAGAATTTATTGTCTGTGTGAAAAGTACATTTCTTCCATTGGTTATAACTTTCTCAAGGCAGCTCATTATAAATGTTTGCATTTATGATACATAGAGCAGCTTCTATCTTTACAACTCTTCTCCATTTTCAGGTGGTGCTTATGTGTCAAATTGATTAGACTCATTAGTATGATAATACAACAAAACATGTATTATCCTAAGTCGAGCATAAGTAAATGAAATCAAATAGGTTTTGATCATGTATCAAACCAACTGATGTGCTTGATGCTTCATGAAATGTTTAGACTTTGGTGCAATTAACTTAATAAAATTAATACCCCTTGTATTGTTACAGATATCGTAAGAATATAACTATAACAGAACTATATAAGATGAAAGATGTTATAGAGATAAGAGAGAGGGTAGGAATTGGTAAATTTGTATGTTTAGCACCTAGTCAACAACAAGCCATTACAAGAGCTCTAACTCCTACTAATATACCTACTAGTACTCGTACACATATACCAGACTCTTCAGATGTAGAGGTAAAATTATTATAAATTTAATCTCAGTTGTGATAATTTATCTGTGTGATCAATTGAAGTAGTTAAAAATACTATATTGTTATGGAGAAGAAAACATTTAACAAGTTGTTAATGGAATGGCTATATAGTTGTTTGGTTCTTATGTAGGTTTCTACCTTTCAGATTCAAGAAATCTTGGAAGCACCTGTATGTACCCAACATTGTCCTGAAGGCAGTGTATTTTATGCTGAAGCTATGAATTGTTCAATGTTACCTAATGTTAAACTACATTTAAAACCATTCTCAGCCAATGTCCATACCCTCCTACTGTCTCATAATGGTAGTCTTCCACTGGCTAGGTTAGTTATCACAAATCCTTAACTGTACACACATTTAACTTCCTTGTTTGTCTTTGTTTCATTTACTATCAATTGAAATTAACCATTTGGTCACTTGCATTAGATCATATATCAAGAGATTTGTAAAAGGTACTGCTGTAGATCTACAACCTCTTATACATGTTTTATGCCTTCTTTATCCAATGATATGTCTTGTATTGTATTATATTATAGCTTCACAGCTTGTTATGCTGCAGAATTTTCTCCCCTGGTAGCAGTCAAGGAGAGCGGTGTTCCATTAGAACATCTAATAAGTTGTATACCTGGTATAGAGATATTTATTACTAAGATTGGAATGAAGAAAGTACAATGGTCAGAGAACCCTACTTCAGCCACGCATGGTATGATATATCTATAACATCCTTCAAACCATCTTCATCTTCAATGCATAATGTTATGTATTATTATTTCATTACTGAATTTGCCGCTTTGGGACTTTGTCAGTTCATTTTTATACGCCCACACGGAAATGTGGAGATATATTGCCATCGCCCCTGTCTGTCTGGTCAATCCGTCCGATCAAAGTTCTTGTTAACACAATAAGGGCTACAGTTTTTATCTGATCTTAATAAAATTTAGTATTCATGTCTATTTCAATGAGATCTTTGTCAAGTTAT